GTGCCAGTTCCTTTAATATTCTTGGATGAAGATTATCTGTGCCCCTCTGATTTACTCCCATTAAGCTGTTCATGTTTGGCTTTTACCTCAGATATGGTAATATCCACCTCCATATCCTTATTCCCATTTGTTATGTTGCCATTATCCCTAAACTCTTCATTAGACTAATTAAAGACTGAAGCAAAGTATTTGTTTAGAGATTGGGCCATGCCTAGATTATCCTTAACCTTCGCTCCATCCTCAGGGTTAGCAGTCCCACTTCTTTTTTTTTCCTATTTATATGGCTATAAAACCTTTTACTATTGGTTTTAATTCCCTTTGCAAGGTCCAACTCTACATGACTTTTAGCCTTTCTCACTTTGTCCCTACATGCTCGAACCTCAATAAGGTAGCTTTCTTTGCTGATCCCTCCCATTTTCCACTCCTTATATGCTTTCTGCTTTTTCTTAATCACCTGCCTGAGATGCTTGCTCAATCAACTTGGTCTAAAACAGCTACCTATACATTTTTTCCTCTTTCTTGGGATACAGGCTTCTGATAAGTCTGAAGCATGTAACTTAAAATAATCCCAGACCTCCTCCACTTTTAGATCTATAAATTCTTTAGTCCAATCCACTTCCCTAACTAATTTCCTTAATTTATTAAAATTAGCCCTTTTGAAATCGAAAATCGTACTCTCAGATTTATTTTTGTTTATCCTTCCATTTAGTCTGAAGTGAATTATCTCATGATCGCTCGAGCCAAGGTTGTCCCCTACAACCACCATTTCTTCTATGAGGTCCTCGCTACTCACCAAAACCAAATCTAAAATGGCTTCCCCCCTTGTTGGTTCAACAACTACTTGATGAAGGAATTCATCAGCTATCACATCTAGGAAAATCTGAGCCCTATAATTATTACTACCCGTATTTGTTCTCCAGTCTATATCTGGAAAGCTGAAGTCTCCCATGATTACACAGTTTCCATTAGTATTTACTTCTTTAAAAACATTAAAGAGGTCTCTATTCATATCCTAATTGGATCCTGGTGGTCTGTAATACACCCTAAGCACTATCCCAGGGGAGGATCTGATAGTTTTCTTTCCCAATGTGATTTCTGCCCAAACAGACTCTGTCTTCTCCATTCCTTCACTTTAATTCTTTGCAATTTACCTCATCATTGATATACAATGCTACTCCACCAACTTTACCTTTATTTCTGTTTTTCCTAAACAGCACATACCCTTCAATATCTGTACTCCAGTCATGCCTAGTATTCCACCTAGTTTCTGTTATTCAATGTATGGTCCTAGACCTTATTTACTGCACACTATTCTAACCCTGCTCTGAAAACTGAATTACGAATGTACTCAAGAACCTCTCCTATGGAGCCCATCAGTACAGTATCCAAGTGTGTCACAAATACCTTTACAAAACCTGTCAAAGTGAGGCAATTTTATTCCCGTTTGATGGGATGGATGTGGAGGCTCAGAGGAATTAAGGTCAACAGCATCCACTAATTTTGGGTGCCCAATTTGAGAAATCCAGAACCTGATCAGTGTACTAGCCATCATATAGCACTTTACATATTCAAGCACAGTTCCCATTGACTTCAGCTGGAGCTGTGATTTTACAGTACTTGTGCAAATCTTGCCCCAGAATCTCAAATTGGGCACCAAGAAAATGAATAGTTAGTAACCATGTGTGATATTAAACACAGACACTAAATTTTTTTTTTTTTTTTAATAAACACAGAAACTTTGTGGTAAAGACAAG